TGACTGCATGTGCTTGAACACCACGAAACCGTGGCTTGCTTAAATGACTCCTAGTCCAGGTGATCAAGCTTTCACCTCTGCAATTCAGGAGTTCTGCACATACACCGTCGTACCCACCAGCTTTCGATCCTGATGAATAATCGAAGAATAATCATTCGGAATTCCTCAGGCTTAGTGGGGAGGTGAAAGAAGTGTTCACTTTCTGGATTTGGAAGTGTCACATGGTTATGTAGAGATTCTTCGGACTGTCTGGTACCGCTCAGCAGCTCTGCGAAACTCTCAGCCCAGCGCTTTATGCATCTAACGGAATCATGCGAGGGTTAGTTCTTCTGGTTTGGAAAGGTGGAAGAAGCGCCTTTCTGCTTGGCATCCTTGCGACTAAGAGTCGCCACTTGTTTAAACACAATCTTCCAGTCTCCCAAAATCAATCGTTTCTCTATTTTTGCATCTTCACATTCAGTAATCGCTGTCGGTCACTAAACTAACTGTTTCTCACCGTCTTAACTGGTGTAATCATCGTTTGGCCATGTCTCTTTCTTTTCCGTGTAATATCACTTGTTTGCCGGTTTTGACGAAGATCCCGGATTTCTACAGTCAAGCGCAGTTTATTGCCTTACAGGTTAGGACTACCGACCTTTCAGCAAGTTTCCCGGAGGTGAAACATAAAGAAAGATTTAAAATAATAAAAAACGAAAGCAGACGAATACACAGAGAGAATGCAGGTTTACAGCGGACTATTCATGCCAAATTCGACTAAACTCTGCTCAGGCTGCGGAACGTGACCAGATTCTTAATGGTCTAGGTTAAGTGAGATAAAACTGACCGCATGAACATTTCAGTTTAGGTCTCGAACCGTGCAGGTTGTTCAGGTCAAAACGGCATTGATTTTGACGTGGACTTCAACCGTCCTCATTCTTTAAAATGACCCCAGCCGGAGGCAAAGTCTCACAATCATTACCAAGAAGGATCGGATACGACGTCACCTTTCCCCTTGAATCATCAATCATTGCTGACGATTATGTGATAGATTTGGCTTTTGAAGTTCTCGTAAGTTCCGCGAAACAACGTACGTTTGCCGATGAATAAATTTCTGGGAAACAGCAATCCGTTGATAAACATCCTATGAGATGTTGTCATTAGCTTTTCATCTGGCATGCGAACCTAATATCCGCCGCCAATTCGAATAATCGGCAATAAAATGAGGATCAGGTGTACAGACATCAAACTGAGTGTTCTTCTGATATTACGCCATATTTGTAGGGGCGATCACGTAGACCACGTTCAGTCTGGTACATGTGGCTTAAAACCTGCAGACCAGAGATCGGACAGTCGCTCATTATTCGACAGAAGTAAGCGACATTATTATCTTCGGCGAGATGAGAACAGTTACTCCTATTTCTCAACGGTTGCTTTCATTGCCAGCCCAGAAAACGTTCAATCTTTTTAATCTCTATTGCACGCCATGGTTAGGCATGTGGATTTCCGATATACGGAGGATGTCAAGCATTCACTGCGCTACAGTTCGAAAGATTTGGTCGTCCAGTTTTTGATAACCGTTCAGCATCCACGTCCCGGAGTTCCAACAAGCAAAATATACCTTTTCTTCATATATGTTTATTCTCTGCAAGTCGGATTTCTTGAAGGAACCGCTCATCGCATAAGCATCATAAAAGAGCACGTAGTTGATCACCGCTACCAAACAATGTAACAAATATCAAAAATCTCGTACAGACTTGCATCAGGAAAACTTGAGATGTACCGATGATGCATGATTCTTGGTACGGAAATTACACAAAGTAGAAAATTTACTGGAAAAACGCGCTAAATTCTGCGTTTCACCACAGCCTTCTTTATACAAACATACAAAGCCTTGAAAACAGTGAAAAGAACTTTGGAAGTAAACCCAACTCTCTATCTTAAGGAAGTTCTATAAGACTCGGGTCGAAACGTAGGTACTGGTTAATCATTGGACTGACTAAACTGTTTCGGCTGTTTGCCGCATGATCGCAAACGCAAGAACCAAATATTCATTTTTGCAGCATAAATGAAGCAAGATAACAATTTGCCAAAAATAGTCGTAAGACTGAAAATAATAAAACGGAATAATAAATAATAAATTTTTATAGTTAATCTACTGTAAAACAGTCGCGTATTAAAAAAGTCGAACATTTTTTAGGATTCCAGTGTTAATAAAACATCAGCAATTAGAAAGTGCCAAAGTTAGGGCTCGACAAAC